GTTGCCTTTATAATGATTTACTGCTGTGATATACCAAAGGTTTTACTTTCTTATGGGCTGTCCACAGTGTGTATCACGGAACTACTTGGGTGTGTAAAGATCACTGCATTTTGTGGTAGGAGAAGCTTGCAGTTTGCTTTGAGTGATGTGAAATCCACTAGTGCTCGAGGGAAGAAGGTAAGTGTTGTCGGTCATTTATTGTCTGTTGTAACTTTCAAGCAGAAGTGGATTTGTGCTATTTGAGTTCTCCAAAAGGTGTCTCGTACCTTCCCCCAGAGCAACTCATGTGAGGGGAACTGGTGTAACCTGATCTATTTTGAATGGTTATCCCACGCTCTGGCCATGAATCCCATCTCTTGGTTGCACTGGGGCAAGTGCCCTGCAAACGAGGAAAAAACTATGCTATTTAATGCATTTCTTTCCTTGAAGTACCATCTTACGGAGTTCAGGGACTGAGAAATTTAAGACTCCAAGTGTGACTGAAACATTGAACATGGAGTTTGCAACCCTGGAATAGTGAGAGGTGGCCAGAGTGACTGGAGGGGACCACCCCGCCTGGCACTAAAGCTTCAGGTTAGTGACCACAGGACGGGGGGGGGTTTGAATCGGGGCTGGATTTTCTGGAGGAGGTGGTGCAGGAGAAGGCACTGAGGAAGCTTGGCAGCCCTGCTACGGAATCCAAAGGCCGGGAGTGGCTTCAAATCTTATTTTCTCCTCCCCCCCCCAATCAATTTGCTAACGCTTCCGCACAGCGTTCTGCTCCGGTAGCGCCGAGCAGGGCGGGGTGGCACAAAGAAGATGGAGGGTAGAGCCTTGGGCAGCCCCCTCTGCTGCCGCTGGGCTCGCAGCCCCGCCGGGGGCAGGACAACGGGGGGGTCCCCACCCCCGGGGAGGAGGGGGGGGGGGGGCGGTTCGTGCCGCTGCGCCCCACATCCGCAGGTGCTGGGCCCGCCGCGTGTCCTCCCCTCCACCACCCGCTAACCCGCCGCCTTGCAGCAGCCCGGCGCAGGCGGCGGCTCGGTGGCACGGGGGGGGGGGGGGGGCACACACGGATTTTTGGGGTGCGACACAGGGATTTGGGGGACGGGGACAGGAACGGGGGCGGTGCCCGCTCCCCCCCCACCCCCAGCGCCGCAGGACCCGCCAGTAGCGCGCGGCCCCGCGCCCTCACTGACGTCTCCGTTGCTCCACTTTGCATATCAGCGCCTTCCCCTCTCCCCATTGGGCGGCGGCCGCTTCTCATTTGCATCTCAGCCGGGCTCTCGGCCAATAGCGCCCCGAGCTGCGCGGACCCCCACCCCCCCCCCTCCGCCGCGGCCCGGCGGGGTGAGCGGGACGGGAGGGGCTGAGCGCGCATGCGCCGCTGGTGTTGCTGGCGGCGCTCGCCCCCTCCCTGTGCGGCCGGGGCTGGGCTGGGCTGAACTGGGCTGGGCTGGGCTGAACTGGGCTTGGTTTAGGCTGGGCTGGGCTGGGCTGGGCTGGGCTCCGGGCAGAGGGAAGAAAGGGAGACGCGCAGGGGTGGCTGTTTCTCCCCTTCCTGCCATTGCGGAGAGCAGGGCTCGCCTCCCCGCCGCGCCGCGCCCTCCCCGGCGGACCCCGCGCTCCTCTTCCTTGTGATCGCGTTGATTTGAGCTTGCAGGGGGGGGGGATTTATTTTTATTTTTTATTCTTTTTTTTTTTTTTTTTTTTTTTTTTTGTTTCCTGGTGGAGGGGAGGTCGGGGAGCAGTTGCTGCGCGGGAGACAATAGCGATACAGCAGCCGCCCCGCATCTCCCAACAAAAAAAAAAAAATTATTAAATAAATAAATTGGGGAGCGATTTCCCAAGATGTCTTATCAGGGGAAGAAAAATATTCCACGGATCACGGTGAGTTGAGTGCACGGGAATAAAAGCGGGGAAGGGGGAGGGGTGCGCGGGGATTAAGCCCTTTGTGTGCCGGAGGAGCGGTGGCAGGGGCTTGTGCTGGATAATGGGATCAGGGTGTAATGCGGAGCTTCCTGCGCTGCAGCGCGGCTGGACGCGGAGGAGGGGGGTGGCCGGGGGCGGGGGGGTGCGCGGTAGTTTAAGCGAGGTGCGCGGGAGGCGGCGGAGAGAGCGGGGGCCGGGCGGCATCGGCATCGCCCGCCCGGCCTCGGGTGTCACCGGCCACGGGGGGGGGGGGTCCCCGGCCCGGGGGGGTGCGGGGGATGGAGCCCCCGGGCGCCGGCCGGGGGGATCGGCTGGGGCAGAATCCCCTTTTTTTCCCCAAGAAGCTTCTCGCAACGCGCGCGTTTTGCTCCGCTCCTCGATGCGATCCTGGGGGAAAAGGGAAGGAGCCGTTATATAAACCCCTCCCTTGATGTCGTTATTGTGGGAGCCGATTTAGGGCAGGTATTGCACATCCAAGGATACTAACTTTTCATTACGTAAGTCAAGATACTCGCATCTAACGGACTGTTACAGCCATTTATTTTTTTTTGACACAGAGTTTTTCATTATTGGCAGCAGCGCAGCGGCTCCTTCTCCCAGCCCCACGGACACACCCATCCTAGTCCTCCTTCCTCAGCCTCGGAGGCAGAAAAGTGAGCTCTGAAATGGAGCTTTGAAGTGTGACATTTGTGCAGGAGCCGCTGGGCTGTGCAGTTACGTTTTAAATGATGTGTAGGAAAAGCCGGGAGTGCACAAAATTGTTACATGATACATGGAGCATCCTCTTTTTTTTTAATTGGGGGGGTGGGAATGGTGTCCCTCCAAGAGTCCAGTGGTAGAGAGTTTAAAAAAGATGCCTATGTTTAAATAACAATGAAGGTTACTGCTGAATTGCTGTCATGGGCCAAAAGTAGTATGACGCATTTTTCTTATGACTGAACGCTCTGATTTGTGCTGCGTGCACCCAATGCAATTCTCCTGTGAAGATAAGGGATAGATAAAGATCAGATTCTGGTCTTATTTGCTGTTGTATAAACCCGGAATCGGTCTACAGAGACTGATGCTTGGAGAAGGAGGATAATCAGTGTCTAGCTGTCCTGTTTTGACTGCATCAGTAGGGTAAATGGACACAGATTTAGTGGCAGGCCCTCGCTCGGTTGCAAACTGCGTGCGCTTTTGTCTCCAAGGTGGTTGAAATGAGCAGAAGGATTCGCGCTCATCTCAGAGCCTACCGTTCAGCCGCAGCAGGAGACCTGTTTACTAGCAGAGGCATTCAGAGCATCATTAAAATGGTCCAGGCTGCATTTTTGTTGGTCACTTTATATATATTTTTTTAAAAATTTATTTCTTAACTGATGCCCAGTGTATTTGGACTTGAGCTGTCAGTGACATCGATGGCCGAACTAGCTGGTTTCGCTGGTAGCCACCCTTTTTAATAGCACAAGGAGTCTGCACTAGAGGTGGGCATAAATACTGCAGTGTTTCTGGAAATGGTAAACATGTAGGACAGTTTGCTGTAGAGGCTGGCAATGAAAGACAAGTGGGTTTTTCACGCCCTGAGTTAATTCATTCAGGCTTATTGGCATTCGCGGCAGATCCTAAATTTAAATCTTGGGGTTTTCTTTCTTTGTTTTTTAAATTGGTGGCGTTATTCAGGGAAACTCTCTGTTGCAGCAGTAGGAGGAAGGAGAAGGAAGAAAGGAGGGGGAAGGAGAGACACCATCTCATAGATGTTTAACGGTTGTGTAAAAGATGGATATAATGGTATAAATTAGTAGCTGATGCAATTCATGTAGCTCTTTTGGTGTTAAAAGAGCCATGTCAGCTGCTTGTGTCAGTTGAGAATCTGGTGCTCCAGCTCTTCAGTTTTATTATAAGCTCTTTGGGAAAATGCCTGATTCTTTTCTTCTGTTTGACGAGCAGAGTCCCAGCTTGAAATACAGGTCCTGAGCACCGCTGTCACTGCCTTATATCTATTTGCTGTTAAGTTCAAGGCACCTCCAAGTTAAAAGTGCTGCTTTCTGCCCCTTCTTGAAGTCAGCTTTTGGTGTCACCAGCCTTTGGCTGTGCTATTGTGGTATAGCTTTGTTCTCTTACAAAGACCTTTTTGGGAGGAGGAAGGAGAATCAGAGTAAGTACAAGTGCAGATTCAAGAGCCGAGATGTGGTTTATACTGAACACTGCATAACCAGTGTGTGCTTTGCTTTAAATATATGGATCTGTAATGTTGGGAATGAAGGAGCCAGAGGAACATAGCAGTCACTTTTAACTTTTCTCCCCATCCAGAGTGTGTTTCACTCTTATTTATGACTACTGCAAAAAAAGATAAATTTGGTTTTGACCTAAAACCTCACAAAAGCGAGATGTAACCTGGGCTGCGATAAAAGCACATCATCTGACAGCTGCCTTGTTACAATTACATTTCTGTTCCTGCCAAACCGTCTTCTAATTTGAGGAAATCTTAATAACCGTTTTTAAAATCTTTCTCTTAAGCACATATTAGCAAATGAAGTTTATTGCCTTCTGATTATGCAGTAATGCTCTGGAAAGGCAGTAAAAGTATCCACTGCATTGAAATATCACTAAGTTGGACAAAATGAGTTTGTTTGTGTGGCGTCACCCGTGGCAACCGACTTTTGGTCCCTTTCCCTGACAGCAGTTGACTCACAGTTAGCCAAGTAGTGACTCCAGTGTGTGGGTGCATATAGGAAATTTTGCATACGAGCAAGGCAGAAAAATCGAGATGTGGCTATTACGCATCCCTCAAAGCATTATTTAATGCTTTCGCTGTAGGTGATGGTGGCAGACTGCAGGTATGAGTAAAGCTGCCAAATAGACGAGCCCGCTAGAACCCAACTCCCTTTCCGTTCTGATTTTTTTTGGATCGTTAGTGTGATAAAAGGACTTGCAGATGAAATAAAATGTATTATCTTTCCAGTTGAAAGTGCAGCAATTGACTTGTGTTTTGATGTGCACTTTTGAATAATGCAGAGGTTGTTCCCGTCTCTACTCTTTTATCTCTGAAGTGACACTGCAGACTGTCAGCTTTCTCACAGAATAATTATGTATTGTTGTATGCTTCTTTGTTGCAGAGTGACCGTCTTTTGATCAAAGGTGGTAAAATAGTTAATGACGACCAGTCTTTTTATGCAGACATTTACATGGAAGATGGGTTGATAAAGTAAGTGAAGCCTGATACCGTGTTGTGACTGGCAGTGTACAGAAATGTACTGCAGATTAGCAAGGAATAACTTAATCTCAGTGAGCTCTATTAAATTGCAATGAGAAATGAATAATTCATGTATATCCTGGTGTTCGATGGAGGAACTTTAAAAACAAGTCGTTAAATTAAATAAACAACTGGGCCCAAAACCCGGCTGTTATTAAAGCATGGGTCAAAGGAGGTACTGACATGTGCTTAATTTTAGCCATGTGAATAGCCCCATGCTGAGATGACACATATGTTTGAAGTTATCTGTGTTGTAACATTTTACTAAGTTATGACTTAAGATATTTTGAATCCAGAGTTCAGCATCCCCATACAGTTAATTCTGGTTTAGGGTAGGGGAGTGGACTTAGGTGACCTCTTGAGGTCTCTTGTAGCGCTGTTGTCTATGATTCTATGATGCAAGGATCAATCCAAACTCCCTTAAGGTTAAAAATGATCCTGTACTTTAAGGATTGACATTCAGACCTCTTTCCAGCACACTTCGGTGTTTTCAGTCCTGAAACATGTGTTTCTGGCACGTTAAATATGTTACAGGTTTATTTGGAAAATTACTCTTAGGAAAAAATGGACGAGCCAGGGGTTACAAACAAGGAGTTTTCCTGTTCTGGCTAAACAGTCAGCACATGTGCTTTGTTAATCAAGGTTAAATGTTAAAGGAGCCAGGCAGAGACAGCTAATTAATTGCAATGTGTCATCCACCATTGCACTTTTAAAAATAAGTCTGTGAAGAGCTAGACTGGAGAGACCTTCGAGGGTCTCATCAAGAATTTGGTAACGAGTATCTACATGGGTTTATATTTGTGCAGGGACTGCATAATATTTATGCATGAAAAGAAAGTAGACAATATAGAGGCAAAAATTCTTCCAGTGCTCCTAAAACAACAGTGACAACTGAACTGCTGTTGGGTAGCTGGAGTCAAGTGTTGAACTGCCGCTTGGCAGCCCCAGTCGGGTCCCAGTAAAGCTGCTCGCAAAGCGCTTGCTGGGTTTGGTGCAGTGATCATCTGATTATCTGCATGGTCCCTTCTCCAGCTGCCTGCCAGTCTGGCTCCTTCTTTTCCTTCCACATAAGTCTAATATTGCCCCAAGGCCCTGAAGTAATTGCACACTTTGCTTTCAATTATGCAACTGCTTCATGGGGAAGGATAAAATATTATCAGCCTTGTATGCTGATCCTGTATGTTGCTTTATATGGAAAAAGGAAACGCTAGCCAGGTTAAGTAGCACAGGGGTGTATGTTTACAGGCTGTTGGCCTTGTTTGTGTCTGATGTGCTGTTTGAAACCTGTTTACCCAGGCAAATAGGAGAGAATCTGATTGTGCCAGGGGGAGTGAAAACTATTGAAGCCCATGGCAGGATGGTGATTCCTGGAGGGATTGACGTTCACACCCGCTTCCAGATGCCAGAACAGGGGATGACATCTGCTGATGACTTCTTCCAAGGGACCAAGGCTGCACTGGCTGGGGGCACCACCATGATCAGTAAGCTGGCTGTTTTGTCTCTTCCAAGAGAGCTTTACTTTTCTTTCTCGGATAAGTACATAAACTGTGGGCTGTGTAAGTGATATGATACATGATGGTACCACCAGGTACCAGCAGTGGGGAATTTCTGATGTCTGTCCAGGTTGCTGAGAAAACCTTGTGTAGGGGTGGGAAAGGGGGTGGAAAAGCAAGACCCCAGGATTTCCCCATCTTGAAGCTGTCAGTCATTTCCCTCTTGTCTTCTCTGTTGGCAGGGTTTGCCTTGTCACTTGTGTGACTGCCAGATTCTTGGGTCTGCTCCTACTGAAACCAGTGGTCACTTTGACCTCTGGCTCCAGTATGAGGAGTAGATTCTCCACATGCCCTGTGCCTTGGTTCCCTTTCTCTGTCATGTCTGTGACTCCAAGAACCTTGTACTCTTTCATTTCTAGAGTTCAGTCTTTTTGGAACAGCAGTTGCCACACATACAGAGAGAAGGAGAACAGCTACTTCATATGGGGTTGTCTGGGGATGGATAGGTATCCATCATAAGGTTCACACACAGAAGTTTGGTGCCAGCGTACTATGTGTCTTTGAAAAATGGGCCACTTATTTGCACATGCCCATGCCCACTTATATATGCAGCTTTAGCACCAGGATTTTTGTTAGCGTTGTTCCTTTTGGGCTCATATCCTGTTGAAGGAAGAGAGAAATGGGGAAATGAAAGCATCTCAAAATAAAAAGACAGACTGACTGGCTGATCTGCTGACACTAGGATTAGACACTCATGGTGTTCCACTCTGGCTCTAAAATGCCTCATGAATGACTTCCAGGCTATCTATCCCTGCTTGTGCTGGCCACAGGTGCATGGCTCGTCAGAGCCACAACCTTAAAACTCCATGAGTGAGTCATTGTCGTTAACCTTGTTTGAGCTAGAGACAAAAATAAAAAGCTCTGTTGCAGTGCAGCTGATCACGTGTAAACTGTAACACGGCGCCCTGGAGTCTGTTGCTGCATGTGGGAGTCAAGGATAAAGGTGTAAAGTGATAGAATATCTGAGCATCTTGCATTCTTTCATGTACTCTGAGGTGCTGCCATTTCACAGGAGGGGAGTTAAGGTACAGAGAAATAAAAGAGCATGGTTCAGAACCTGTACTAGTGTCTGTTGTCCGATCCATGGATATAAAGAGATCTGAGGCCCAGCCAGGAATCAGCCTAACTCTCCTTGGTTCAAACCTAGCTCCTTAGGGACTGGAGCATCCTCATCTCTTAGAGGACAGTTACGAGCGATCTTTGATCCCTGGCCTGGTTGGTGGACTTGGATTGCTTGACATGGAGGTTGGGAGTAGGAGCCAGTGGTCCAAACACAGCTAAAATGTCTGTATTTCAGAAATAAATCTTTTTCTGGGTCTGGACCTTGCAGAGAGGTTGTGTCTGGCCTATGAACTTGGTGTAATGCTTCAAATAAATAAAATAACCCGGGGCATTATTTTCCATAACATTACCGCTCTAGGATGTGAAGTTTGTGTATGAAGATGACCTCACACATAGAAAGAAAGTAAAGTGGGAGTGTAGCTGTGGATGGCCTCATTGTGCGTACTAATACCCAGTTTTTCTTCAAATCTTTGCTGTCAATTTAAAGTAATAACATTGAAATGGTATTTTCTTTTCAGCTTCAGTTCACTGACTTTGTTTCATTGGTCGTTCCTTTGTTATTAGTACACCTGGTTCACACTGGAATTATCATTTGGTTCTTCCTTGTTAAGTTGAATTATACCAAAATAACATTCTCTGTCATCTGCCTCTGACCTTTCAGCATCATTGTTTCCCCCAGTGGCACTTTATAAAACATTTTAAGCAGAAATTGCTGAGGCAAAATTTTCTGAAGTAGCCCTTTGCTTTGGTTGCCCAATCTTATCTGTGCAGAGCCTCATACTTTAGAAGTGCTTGGACCTTTCTGTATATCTGTACACGTATATTGCCTTTATGACTGTAGTAACTGAATATCTCTCTAATGGTGTTTGTAACACATATTTGAGTTAGGGAAGTTAGTCTCCCATTTTATAATGTCTCATTTTACAGCTGTGAAAAATTAGCACAATGTAGATTGTAACTGCGGGCTAACCATGTAGAGGAGGCTGGTAGCTAAACTTGACCTTACTGCCTTCCTGAGTGTCTTGGATTAGGATACCAAAATACACAATCATCTCTGAACAAAAAACCATTTCCTAAGGTGTAGCAGCAAGGAGTACTTGGACTGCTTAGGATGATGGAGGGACGTTTCTGATGGGTGGATATCAGCAACTGGAGCTGAACAGTGGAAAGCAGGGTAAATAATCCAACTAGACTTCAAAGCTTTGGAGGCTCTGCTCTGTGTCAGCTCAGCTGTTCTCTTCTAAATGAAATTATACCATTGCAAAAATGTTTTTCCACGATGAGGCATACAGAAGTGCCCTCGTGAACATGCTCTTGGTGGGTGGCCTTTGGTTTTTCCCAAAGCAGGTGGGAGTTGTGGTTGATTGCAGCATTTTTTTCTTTTATGATAAATAGGACAACACTTATTGAACTAGATTCATAATATTACAAACAAATTGCAGCCTGAAAATGACACGCTAGTGTTTATGTCATTGTATATTTTAAAGACTGTGCCTGGGACTTTTCAAAAGAGAATATGCTTGTCTCATGGAAATATATCTAGCTGTGTGCCTCCATTCTTCAGGCTTTTTTGGAAAAGCGAGCCTTATGAATGTGAGCTTTGTTGGAAAAAAACACCCATGTTTATTCATTTGTCCTCTAAGCAAACTTTGTATTATTTACTTACAAATACGTTTACTCCATCCCTTTTTCTCTTTTATACATAGTCCTCATTTGAGCAAGGTTAGTCAGCTTCATGCTTCAATTTGTTTCACATTTTCATGCAGGAGGGCACTTTAAGGCTGTTTACTTTACAATCACTGCAGGGAAATGTTTGTTTTATATACATTTTTCAGTGAAATTAAAATGAATCTTGGATAGGTTTCTACAGATTGTTGGTTTTATAAAAACTGTGGGTGAAATCCTGGCTTCAGTGAGGTAACAGAGGGTTTTGTCACTGACCTCAACAGTGCCAGGAATTCACCCTCTACGTCTGATTTGGTTTCAGTGAACTTCATTTTCAGCCCAGATCAAATTTGGTGGTGTTCCTTTAATTCTCATGGCAAACCCATCCAAGGGAAGCACACGGGAGTTCAAGAATGTAACCTAATGTTTCCAAGCCCTGTCCTCATTTACTTCTGTTCCCCTTTAAAGTAAATTCATTACCACAGCATCAGAGGTAGGAGAATCCAACTCTCAACTGGTATCAAATGGAGCAGCCCCATTTTCTGTGTGGGGCCAGTGGAGATCTATCCTGGTGGGAAGCAGATCTGTCTCCAATCCAGTGCTTCCCAACTCGTCCCATGGTCAGCTGGAATGAGGGAGAGTGGCTGGCGGAGATGATCTGAATTAGCCCTTTTTTTACTCTACATCACCTGTGTTCCCATCGGGCTCTCCAGTCCTCGCTTTCCAGAGCCCTCCTCTAGGTTGCTTTACTCAGGAGTTAGGGCTGATTTCTTTTTCTAGCTACTCGTTCCACGGAGACCATCTGAACAGGAATTCCAGCTATGATCCTTCTGTCTCTCCCTTCTTCGGTGCCAGAGGGAAGACTCCAGCTGACTTTGCTAATGCATGAAAAAATGCAGTTGATTTTGCTGTGCAGAGCTGCCGAGAGGTGAAGTGACGTATTGTGATGTGATATTGTTGTTTTTTTTTTTAATGAAATGGCAATTTACACAAGCCTTTCTCTGTCCCTACCTTAAAACAATGTTAGTGTGGATATGTCAGCCAAGGGCGAACAGCACTGCGCGTGTTTTAGGATAACATTGCTCTGGAAAAAGCTTGGATTGTTGCCCTTGTAAAATGTCAGAATGCAGTGTTTGGGCATTAAGATGAAGGGAGAATTCCAGGATGATCCACAGAAGACTTTGGAGAGAGGAGTATTAGATACGCTTCAGCTTGTTCAGGGTAACTTTCCTAAGCTCCGCCCTGTATTCTATGGAAAGAGAACAGTCCTTCTGGAATTTTGGAAGAGGACTCTGTCTGAAGTTGCCCTTTACAAGAGACTCTTTCTCATCCATGGGGCCTATGGAGCCACAGTTTTGTTGAGCTATAAATGGCATTTTTGAACCCCTGTTGTCCCAAGTTGAGATAGGTTGATGCCCCAGGCTATAAAACAGTCCCTGGAGCTATTAGAGAAAGAAGATACCACTGTTACAAACAGGGTGGCCTCTCCAAGTCTTGTGATGGTTTGGTCGCTCATTAACTGTGATGGGTGAAATCCCCATCAAAATCAATGGTAAAACTCCCCGAGATTTCAGTAGAGGCAGAATTGCCTTCCTCTGCTCCTAACCCTTCAGAAAGGATGATGCTAAGCTGCATATACTTACTGGCTCTCTGATCCTCTAGCATGTTTAATGTCCTAGTGAGAACAGCATCTATCCAGGCCAGCTCCCACACACATTTCTGGCCCCCCCTCCCAAAGACTCTGTTTCTTCCTGGGTATCTGCTGTCCTTGAGTGAAATCGCTTGCTGACATTGCCTGTGTTGACTCAGTCAACCACTGTTATAATCATAGAGAGAAATTACAGTGAGAGAAATTATAGCTCTTTCTGTCTTGGTGACTTGGAATCCAGCTGCCTTTTGAACTTGACGAGCAGTTATCCTAATAACATGGAGAATGTACGCTAGGGATATGAGCCTTTGTATCTTGGGAGTTTCAGAAAATGAAGGGGAACTTCACATGGGCTCTGCAGACTGTTTCCTAATGCTTTACTCTGCTAGTAAAAAGAGAGCTCGTGTGCAGGTTGGCAAAGGCTTTTACGAGTGTGTTAGCTGCTCGGCTACAGTCAAATTTGTAGTGAGTTGACATCAGGTATCCTAGGCCATCCTGAAGACCACCACCTTGCTACAAGGAAATGTTTCCAGCCTAGCATGCTTCCTCGCCT